GGCAGAAATTAAATGAACAGGGATCTTTTTCTAGAGACTCCACTGTCATATTGTGTTTTAATGTGAGAGGATGAGAATCCTTTCTCTCCAATGTACACGTAAAAAATGTGGGGGTTAATTTTATGTAAGTACAGTGTTTAAAATAAGGTATAATTTGCTTTAATGTGGATCAATTTGACTGTACTGTGTCTATGGAAATATTTCAAAGTTTAGAAAACCTAAGAGAGTCAAACATTTCATTAGTCAACATAGCCTTTCAATTTACTTTAGCTCTCTATTATTCATAATGCCTTTCTCCAACAGAGATATAAGTCAATACATCAAATAATTACTGAGCATTTCCAAAAATGGTACTACATACTAGAACCTGAGGACATTATTGGTATGTATAATTATAAAAAAAAAAACAAGTAAATGTATAATTGCCAATTATGGTAGTAACTTTACCTGGGTGAAAAGATAATGAATGAGATTAATTTTTCTATTTTTTGAGCATTCAGAATCTTTTATAATAAGCATTTCTCTAAAACTACTTTAACAAGAAACAAAAATTAAGCTCCTACAGAAGTGGGAAAATAAAGATAGCTTCATGGTGTAGTTTTCCTGCTTGAGAAACTGTTGTTGGTTTTTTTAACCTTAATAAAACAAAAATTAAGTGTACTGTTTTTCAAAGTCCCACTCAACAGTTTCCAGAAACAATTTGAGATTGTTCTCTGAAAGCAAATGAGTGGTCATCTGCCCATCTGTTTAAGTCGTCAAACTCTTATTAGTCTCAGGTAAGTATATGATGATTGGTCATCAAATGAGTTGTAAGCTTTACCCACCACTGCACATAAAGTGAGATATTTTAATAGCTTAAAATGCACTTGGAATAATAAATGTCACTTCTTAACCAGAAATAAAAACTCTGTCCTCAAAGAAGTAAATAAAATATGCCACTGAGACATAGTTTGTTAATGGGGAGAATCGGGGGGAAGGGAGGAGGAGGTGTTTTAGTTTTGTCTTTGGCTTGGTAGATGCAAGTAAAAATACTGTTTGTGCAAAATGCTGTGGACGGTCTAGTTTATGTTAGAACTCTGAGTAAATATAATAATAATCAAAGAAATAAACCAAAAACCACAAACCAAATATTTACAACCAAAGACCTAACCACAGTATTATCAATGAAATTCCTCTCTAATGTGTCAAGATTTGTAGTTGCAAACTCAGAATAGGAAACTGTGAATCACACACTCATAAGCCACCTTTAAGGTTGTGTTTATCTAAAAGATTTGTATATACTAATCATCAGTTTTGACACATCAAAGCCAACGATTTCAAAATGTATTCCAATCTCTTTTGCAGTTAAACAGCTCCAGATTGTCCTGAAAATAATTCTCTTCACTTTTAGATTAATCCTAAAAAATGCATCTTTGGTTCTGGAAAAGGAACTGAACAAAAGTGGATAAAATCTTTATATACAAGGTAAGAAAACTATGTGCTGTCTCTCTTAGCCTACAACCTTTCACCCTTTAACTTTTAACCTTCAACCTATCACTTTTTAAGTTTTACTTTCCCTTTACTTACACTTTTCATCTGTCAACAAGTACTTGTAATTTTATTACACTGTCCTGTAGTTTACACAGGGTTGGTATTATTTTACACAGTTCTGTTAATGGACTGGATAAATGGTAATGCTATTTAAACTAGTCTCCTGCTCCAACAAACACAGCTGCAACTGTACTACTATTTCTGAGCAAACATCTTGACCTGAACATGCAATGCTCTCTCAACCCGTCCAAAGAGAAATTGGAGCAGACAGCACAGGGAAAGCATATTTGGCTGCTAGCTGCAATCAACCATGTCGAATCATAATTCATATACAGTATACCCTCTTTTCTTTTATATTGCATTTAGGTTCTGCAAAAAGAAAGCATCTGGGAGTCTCCTGGCATCTCATTTTCAGCCAAGAGTCAAATGGTGATTATTCCTTACAAAAACTCAAAAAATAATCTGTGTGATGTCCAATTCATCGGAATAGCTTTCATCTAAACAATGTTAAAAGTCAAATACCAAGGTATGAGCTATATATGAAACTGGAAAAACCTTTTCTTGGTGATGTATTAGGAAAAATACATTAATTGAAAGATACCATAAGAAAAATAAACGGAGATATTAATTAACAGCCTAATAGTTTATAAAGAAAATAATTTTTTCATGAGTTCGTATGGCCATCCTACGTTATGTACTTGAGCAACTATGGATTTGGGGGTGCATGTGTGCGTGTATGGGTGTATGTATGTGCACATGCCCTCCTGCATGCACATGAGCACTGCTACTGGGGCTTACACTCAAGGGCTCATGATCTGATGTTCTTCGCTGAGGCTGTTGCTCTACCAGAGCCACAGCTCCACTTCCAGCTTTTTGCTGGACCCATATATCAAGGCCTTGTCCTCCCAGGCTGACTTTGAGCTTTGAACCTCAAATCTCAGCTGACTGAGTACCTAGGGTTACAGGTGTAAGCCACTAGGGCCCAGCTAAGATTCTTAATATTTACAGACAACAACCAAATATTTTCTTCTCAATTATTTGTCAAAATCTCGGAATCATTTGCTCTGCCACATAAAGCTGGCTTGTACAAGACTCATTTTTGAATGAACATTTTAAAGGACACTCTTGCAATGTAATTTTGGGTATATTTTCAAATTTACTGTAATATTTGTTTCAATATTTATTACTAGGCACCTGAACTACATAAATATACATACACACATATCTGAACCTGCCTCCTTGCTTTTCATAATTGCACTAGCTTGGTAGTCAGATTTATATGCTTTTATCCCTTATTAAAGATTCTCAATGCTTGCTGTTTAATTTAATTAGCAATCCTCAGCATTAAGAAGTGGTCACATGGAGCTTCTAAGTTTTCCTCTCAGGAGAAATACTATGATTCACAATTAACCTACATCTAATTCAAATAAGGTAGTATTAACTCAACTCAAAAGAAAGTTTCTGACTTGAGGATTCAAGAAGTCACATAGCCAGAGCCTATACTGATGGTTGAATAACAAGCAGGGGATTTTTTTTTAGCATTAAGCACATTTTGACGGGTTCTGTTTCACTCACTTCTGAAAGTTTCAAGTCTCTTTCATAGAAGTTTCAGAAACTTACAAAATTATAACAAATATGAGAAATCTCTTGGTCCGCTAATACAGTATTGTCAAAGAGGGTAAAATGTCATGCTAATTTATTAATAGGGGAATTCTGCAAATTCATTACAGTCTTATAAATGCTGGGGAAATGTGTACACATAATTCTAAAGTAAACATTAAATATTCTTGTTCTGTACGACATAGTTGATGTTACATCAGACATTTCCTCTGGAGTTTAATAATTTTAATTGTAGTTAATGCCCTGACCCAATTCATATTTGCAATACATTAAAAACAACTTCCTATACTGCCATGCATGTTTTACATGCACACTGCTAGTATTTCTTTTTAACACTTCAAGGCCTGAAATCAACCATTTGAAATCTTCCCAGTCACCAATAACAAAAGCAGAAAATGGAGTAATATTTAAAAACAACCCAATACCTTTCTTGGAAATATTAAGCACAAATGTTTAAATTTAAGTTTCAGCTGATACATGAATATACAATGTTTATAGCAGTCTACATCCCATTTCCTTGATTAAAGACATATCCTAGAGAATGCTTTTTTAAGAGATATATATACATGTGTGTATACAACTGATACATGAACATACAATGTTTATAGCAATCTACATCCTATTTCCTTCATTAAAAACATACCCTACAGAATGCTTTTTTTAAAAGAGGTATATATACATTTGTGTACACATATGTATAAATATATATCAAATGTATATAAATATATCTCATATATATATATATATTTATATATAGGAACATAGTGATTTTGGTTACCGTCAGACAAGCAATTCAGAAAGTCAGACTCTAGAGAGATGTATGCTATGTCGCTGGCAAAATCGTATCTATGGCGAGTTAAGCTATCAGGAGGATAGAGAATTAGTAGATATGTGTGTGAGGAAGGTCCTCTTACTTCTGGCATGAACTTAGAGGCTACAAAGCCAGATTTGGAGAAAAAGCAATAGGCTCACGTTCTCTGCAAACACTACCATCTGGGACTTCCCAGGTGGGACCACTCTGAACAATTCATTTATTCCCGCAGGTTTTTGTTTTTTCCACGACATACAAGAACATCAATAGCCATTGCTATTTACTCTTCTAACACTTTGTAGCTTATCTCTCATTGGTGCGAAATCATTCAAAGGCTGAACATCTAATTTTAAAAGCTTTAGAAAATGTGTTTTCACTAGAATACATTAGGTCATTGAGCAAGCATTCATTCCAATTAGGAAAATCTGTTTCCACCTCAGACTCGTATTATGCTCCTTTACAGAACAACTTCCTTTAACAGTCTATGACGTATTTGATAGGAAAACCTTTCCTGCTGGTCATTCCTGTGGCACGGGCCAGGATTCTGGCTTTGAAAGAAACACTTAAGGGGGAATTTACAGCACTCTTTACCTTATAATAATATTTTCACACTAATAAACACTACTCCTTGAGCAAAGAAACAATACCAAAAAAGGCTGATAGTGAGAACCTCCAACTTTGCAAGGAAAGCCTGCCAACGTCCTCCTCAGAGGAAGCATCGCACCAAGTTTTCTCTTTCGAATTCAATCAAAAAGTCTCCAATAAGAAATATGCAAATCTCTCCATCACCATGCAACACAAAATAAATGACACAAAAGCAATAATGCATACATGAGCCATGAAATAATAAACCAAATAAAGCCATGTTGGAACCACATAGAAGCAATCATAAATTTACTTCAGAAAATAAGACAAATTTTTAATCTAGTAATCCACTAGCCAATAAATTCCAAGAAGGCTCAAGGAAACAGATCCAAAATACATTTAATAAAACACAAGGTCCTCCCCAAAGTAACAATAACAATTTGTGTCTACTTACAGCCTATATAGCTTCGATGTCCCAAGAAACAACAACTCAGGAAACAGCTGAAGGTGATTTCTGTTTAAACGCCTTTAGAGAAAACAAAAACAAAGCTCATGTTACGCAGAAAATACGTACCCAGGAGTTTGTGATTTGGTAGTGTCATGCCTCATCCTGCATTTCAAGAAAGAATAAAATGACATTCAAGCGAACTCAAGCATTACAAATCCAAAGTTGGTTACACCTTTTGTTATATGAATCTTTCATGCAATTTTCCATTATGCTTAGACAGATGATGATTATTGGCCTTGAACTCTTACACATGAATCCCCTGCAGTGGCAGTCAACCAGAATATGCAAACTGATGAAAGATTCCATCACTGAGACTCCAGTCTGTCTGTCAGGCAGCTTCAACAGACAGCAGAAAAATTCTACACTAAGTGGTGCTTCACAATAATTCAGAGACAGTCTAAAATGCTCTAGATTTTCAGTCAAGTTTAGGGAAATGGAAATTTCAGTTTGTTACCCATTTTTATAAGTTTTTTTTTAATTTTTATTTATTTTTTATTGTGAAAATATTATACAGAGGGGCTACAATTAGATGGGCAAGATAATAAGTACATTTCTTAACAAGCATTGTAACCTTCTCCTTTGTTTCCCCTTCCCATCCCTTCCCAGCTTCCTCCCTCCCCCACCAAAGTTGTAAAGTTCGTTTTCGACATGACAACGTGTACTTCTCATTGTTGCAACAGGTCCACCTGTATCCTTATTTAAACGACTTGTTTTTCCCCTTCCCCTCCACAAATTATACCAACATCAAATACAGTGAAAGCAGGAGTTATACTGTGGGGGAGGGACATACAAAGCAACAAAGAAATAATCTTATAAATGCGTTATGCATGAAAGAAAAAAAACATTTGAATACATATCTTAGGGTTCATTTCACCTAACATCAACTTATCTGACTTTTTCTACTTGTCTCAGACATATACTAGTTATTGCAAATAGGGAAACCATGGGACCTATGTTTCTTTGGGCCTGGCTTACTTCACTTAATATAATTTTTTCCAAGTCTTTCCATTTCCTAACAAATGGGGCAATGTCATTCTTTCTGATGTAGGCATAGAATTCCATTGTGTATATATACCACATTTTCTTGATCCATTCATCTACTGAGGGGCATCTGGTGAAAATACTGGACAGCTGGGTTACAGTTACATGAGCAAGGTAATGAGTACATTTCTTATCAAGCATTGTTGCCTCCTCCTTTGTTTTTCCCCTACCATTATTTAGTTGAAAAAAACTAGTAACTCAGAAAATGAGCATGTGTCAGCCTGATCTGGCTCATCAGCAAAACCTGGAGAAAATGATCAAAGATGAAGGCTCATTCCACAGCATTTCATACTTTACCCAATTTAAGATTTGGAGTTTCAGCTAATAGTGATGCAGCACATTGTTTAAGGAACATTCAAAAGTGTTTAACTGAAAATGGCAAGTTTTAAGTACTTGGAGAAGAATGTGATTGCTGAGAAATGCTGGTAGCTCGTGCCTATAATCGTAGCTCCTCTGAAAACTGTGATCAGAAGATCCCAGTTTAAAACCAGTTTCCAGAAGCAAATCCTTTGAGATGCACATCTCCAATTAACCAGCAGAAAGCCAGAAGTGGAAGTGTGGCTCAGATGGTAGAGCACCAGCTTTGAGAGATAAAGACAAGTAAGAGTATGATGTCTTAAGTTCAAGTCCCAGTACTGGCACACACACACACAAAAAGTAAAAATAATAAAAGGAATTTGATTGCAACTCTAGCTCACTGTAAGCCCTGATTCCGTTACTGAGTTCTTTGGGGCTAGGCATACCTACTATTATGTCTGATATGCCAGAATTCCAATTAAAAATAATTGCCTATCACTCCACTTTTCCCAAATTTAAATAAAACAATAACTAGCTAATGTGAACACACACACACTAGTGTTTCATAAGCTGCTTTATTTCAGAGAAGAACAAGAAGTTCAAGAATCTAACAACCTCACACTGAAAACACCAGCTGTGTGTCTTACATCTTTGAGATCCATGTTAAAAGGGCACAGAAAGAAGATATATCAATCCTGATGTATTCAGTGGATCATTGGGGCAAAGCAGAATTACATTTACTTAGTTTTCTGAGTGCAACAATGAGAACACTGGTCACAATCCCCAGGAAAGTAGGTGAAAAGTCTCAAGCTTAGACATACGCAGAAAGAGAGCTCTGCCTGCCTTGATAAACTCTTTACTACTGACCTCATATATTCATCTTTTTTCCTGATCATATGTTTAAAAATAGATTAAAAAAAATCTGAGCCAGGCCCCACTGGCTTACAGCTGTAATCATAGATTCTCAGGAGGCTGAGATCTGAGGATCACAATTCAAAGCCAGCCCCAGGCAGAAAGATCCCCATGACATTCTTATGTCCAATTAACCACTCAAAACTGAAAGTGGAGCTGTGGCTCAAAGTGGTACAACACTAGCCTTAAGCAAAAGAGCTCAGGGACAGTGTCCAGGCCATGAGTTCAAGCCTCATGATGGACAAAAGAAATAAAGTCTTAGTATTAAGTGTAAAGCTAGAACAGTGTGCTTCAAAACTTTTTCTACTCCAAGATTCCATGAGAATAAACAGTAACCCATGAACTTCAGTTAAACTGATATTCTTTCTCATTTTTTATGTCAGTATGGGCTTGAACTGAGGGCCTCACTTTTGGCTTTTTCTCTCAAGGCTAGCACTATACTACTTAAGCCACAGCTCCACTTCCAAATTCATGTTTGTAAAGAACTGGTAACCCATAGAAATACTCTCAGCACTTAATAAAATATATACTAATAAGGAAAAGTATTGAAAGCTAAGTAAGAGGCAAAGAGGCTGACATTTTAAGAATAAAGCTCATAAATGTTTAAAGTGAAACCAAAAACTATTTTTTCTCTATTAGATATGATTCTTAGGATATAGTACTTCTAAAATCTACTGCTTTCCAATTGCAATAAAATATAGCTTCCTTTGACTCTCAAAAAAACCGATTACAAATAATCACAATAGCGGTCATAAGAAGTTTTGTAGGCAATCCACTACTTATATGTATACACATACATTGTCCAAAGAGCTCATCTATCACCATTTCTAAAAAATAGCAGAAATAGGCTCTCTTAATCATATCCAAAGCATCAGATGAGCAAACACATTGGATTCTCCATCCACAATAGACATGCTCCTTCAATCCTGCCTGCAGAGGCAGCTTTGTAGAGTTCTTTCCCTTCCTGCCAAATGGTACTTTCTTATGTTCTCCGTGTGAAACTTCCCAGTTCCCCTCCATCCAGTTAGATTCTGTCCCCTTGATAACAGTCTTTTACACTGTATTCTGTTTACCCATGTCCTGGTCTCTTTCCCATGAGGCTCTGAGCTTTTCAAGTCTCAAGTCCATATCTTTGTGTTCCCTCCTCCTTCTCCAGTACTTCATTAGGTTTTGCACTGTATCAAAAGACAAAGACCTGGTCTGTTCTCATTCAACATTTCCCAGTCTCCCCTGGCACTTAGTAGATTCTTAGGAAATGTTGAATGAGAACCAACCACTCTCTGCATTTTTATGCCATTCAGCCAGGGCGAAGCATATGCATTCTGTATCAGGACCACTTTTCTCTGTCATGCTAAAATGATGTACCTGTATTCATTTGGAGCCCTACCATCCCTGCTTCCAGATTCCTTAAATGGAGTTTCCTCCTGCCCTGTGCATCCACCTCCTCACCTCCATTCCTCTACTCACAGGTTCTCAGAATCAACTAGAAGTTGGAAGGAACTCAATGTGTTTAAACAATGGATAGTTGCTACTTGCTTTCTTGTCAATGTGTCTGAATTTCCATCCCTTCACAAAGTTTTATTACAGATTGAGTACCAGTAGTGTCTTTCTCTGGATAATTATTTTCATTATTTTCATATTTCTGGTGTTTCTTAAGGTAAGACCAAAAGAAGCATGGTACACACTAAAAAGCAGTGTAAGTTTGCTTTTGTTTTTCTTAAGAGATTAAGTACAGGGCTGGGAATGTGGCTTAGTGGTAGAGTGCTTACCTAGCATGTATGAAGACCTGGATTCAATTCCTTAGTACCACATAAACAGAAAAAGCCAGAAGTGACACTGTAGCTCAAGTAGTAGAGTGCTATCCTGGATCAAAAGCTCAGGGACAGTGCCTAAGCCCCTGGACTGCCAAAAAAAATGTAAGTACATTTTTAGTTCTAGTCTCTCTCCCAACAGTACTAAGGTTAAATGTACATAAAAATGTTAAAGTAAAAACAAAATTCTTTCAAACTATTAAACAAAAAACACTTAAGAGAAAAGAATATTATAAAATGGCCAGGGATTAAGTTAACATATACTAAGAGCATTATGTGATTGTCATTATTCTGAATGTCACATGACTTAACTCTGCCTCTCCTTCACAACACTGCCACAGAAGTGTACTGCTGAAAGGCTGAGGTGGGTTCATGTAGCTTTACTCCCGAACCTACCATCTGAATCCCCCTTCTCAAAATAACCCAGTCTAACATTCCTAAGTGGTCATTCAAAACAAAGTAAGGCTGGAAGTCTGCTGCTCACCAGTCTTTCCTTGAGAAAAACATGGTTGTATATAATCCATCTCTTAAATTAATACATTACACTAAACATAAATCACTGTTTTAATTCTTAATAGACTAGCACTATATTCAGTTGTTTTAAACATATATTTTAAAATGAGAAAAAAAGAAAAATACATTTAGAATACTTTATCTGAATTTAACTATCATTTCTTCATGGGTGTTATTATATTTAAACCCTCCATTTTTATTGGGAGCCTAAGACTAGGTTGCATCACATAAAAATGGGCAGGTAAGACACAAAATCAGTAAAAGTTTGCTTTTGCTTTTCTTAAAAAGTGTATAAGTGCATTTAGTTCTATTCTATTTTCTCTTCCAACAGTACTAAGGTTAAATGGACATAAAAACATTAAGGTAAAAGCAAAATTCTTTCAAAACTATTTTTAAAAACATTTAAGAGAGAAGATTATACTAAAATGACTAGGAATTAAATCT